CATGGTGGCAGAGGAAGCAGATGGACGCACGCCAGCTACTTTGAGCACCTTCATGCGTGTCTTTCACAAAGTATTCAAACATCACATTAAATTTCGTGACAAGAAAGAGCACGCTGAGTGCAACATCTGCGGAAACTTCAAGAAGAAAATCAAGGAGGCCAAGACGAAGGCAGCTCGGGCTGACAAGGTGAGCCAGTACAGCACACACTTGTTAAGCCAATGGCTTGACAGACAAATATATTGGAAGCTGAGGGAGCTATCACGCTCATTCTTTCGCACTTCATTGCCTGCCACCATTCCTGAAAGTGTATATTCTTCGTGCTTGACGCAAATAGTTGATGGAATGGATCAATCCAAGCTAAGATGTCCAAAGTTTGGTTACGACCGTCTGACCAAATCACTGGAGAGGCTCTTCAGACCAAGTTTGCACTTGGTATGTGCTTACATCCACGGTTACAAAGCATTTCTGCCCATCACTGATGAGAATGTCAAAAAGGATGCCGAGACTCAGTGCGAGATCATCATTCGCTCCTTAGGCCACCTAGCAGACAATGTAGCCAGATTTCCATTGGGGTACCACCTACAACAAGACAATTGCCCAAGAGAAGGGAAAAATCAGTTCTTACTGAATCTGATGCTCCTCCTGCAAGTGCTCGGAATATTTAGATGGACACGTTGTGGGTACCTGCGGACGGGACATTCCCACGAAGATGTGGATATGATATTCGGGCAGTTGAGCAAATTACTTCGGGGCAAAAAGTTTGACACGCCAAGCGGCTTGATCAACTTGTTGGAATCAACTATCCACAAGAGAAGAGATGCAGATGCAGCAAAACCGGATTCAGAAAAACCTTCTCGGCTGCAAGGGGCCCAAGCCTCTCCCTACAAACTTGATCAATGCGCATGTTGGAAACGCTTTGTGAAACAGGTAGGAGTTGTATTCAAGGGGGCCCGACTCTTGCCATAAAGTGAAAACAATGTGAAACCTTTTTTTTTATACACAGAATCTTATGACCCATAATAGAAGCTAGGCTGGAGATAGTTCTTGAAATGTCAGTTTTTGGAATTCTTTGTTTGTTGAGGACATGTCCACTACATTCGCTTCTGCCGCCGTGGAGACATTGAAATGGCAGTCTGGGAGAATTGTGGGCAAGTCGATGAATTCAACACCACGGGCAGAAATCAGTGACCCCTTCGGCCAATGACACCTGCGCAGTTGTCAAACGATGGATGGCTGATAGAGAGGTGACCAGGGTGGTGCCATTGATTCCAGCCTCTGTGGTTGACCAAATCCGACAGGGGTTTCATTTGCCAGAGGGCGTTGCAAGCAGGCGTTCCATTGGAGCAAGCGTTGCGGCCAATGTGCAACGCTATGCACCCCATTCCATGAAAAGAGGAGAGCTGTCGGAGGCAGCCGGAAAATACCTCTTGGACTGGTCCAGTGGGTGCTTGGATCAAATCCAAAGGCCTTCCCACTATTCTGTGTTGCATCGCAGACTAGAGGAATTTAGAGATGAGACCATCCACAATGGAATATGGTCTAAACCTTCCCGGTACAGGCACATTGACTTGACCATTGCTGGCCCTGAAGTCGGTGATAGTGAATCTGACTCAGAGGGGCCTGTAGACCTTCCACCAGCATTGGTAGATGCATGAAACATGAGTGGGTCTGGAGAATTCTGGAAAACCTTTTCTCGGTCGTGCACTGTGTAAGTGATTTATATGTTCTATCCGTTTTGTTTTTTGGGTGTGTGTTTATCTTATGGCCTCCACACCGCAGGAACCAATCTCTGCCTTTGACACCATGTCGACTTGTCGCCCGTGAGTTGAATAGAGTGGGTTAAACACAGTTGAACGTCCAGTGGCATCTACCCCATGTTTCCTGATGGGTCAAACAACCAAAGGGTAGCATGAGCTCACATGAATTGACCCATCACACTTTCCAGGACCTTCGCAGCAAGGGATGATGTCCTTCAGCAGTCTGACGACGATGAGCAGAACGCAAGCTGCGCTGCTTCGGTTTTGGCGCAGTTCTTTGATCCAACCATTACATTTTTCTATATTTTATGCAATGTTTGATCCAAATATGTGGGGTGGTGCTTTTTTGGCACTTGGCACTGTTTAAGGTCTGATGTTGAATCCAACGGTACAATGCTGGAGACGTCGGATGACGAGAAGACCCTAGACCTCGGCTTTTGGGAGGTGGAGAGGACTACCAAGAGCGAACGGTCCATGAAGCCCTTTCCAGGAGTGCATGTTTCCAGCGATGGTATTCTCGAGGACTCCCGCGAGCTGCTGGACAGGCCCAAGTGTCACATGCCGGACCCTTCTGCCACTCATGTCTTGTCCAGCAATTTGTTTGGTTTTGGGGGTGGGGTTTGGGGTTTGGCTTCATACAGCAGTTGAGAAACTGAAAGTTGTGAGGGTTCAACGCTTCTCGGGGCAACTGAGATTCGCAGCTTTGTGAATGAAGCCATCTCCAACAAGTTTGAGCAGATCGCTCATACTTGCAAAGGGATTGGTGACCATTTGGATGGCTGCCTCAAAATGGGAACCATTTGCAGTGGCATGGGTACTGCTGAGATGGTGGCTTCCCTTTTCTGTGAGGTTTGGAATGACCGTGCTTTCTTGGCTCCTGCCCCCATACAGGCCGGGGTCATTCGCTGACACTCTTCATCACATTGGTTTGGTTATATAGTTGTTTTCCCCTGGTAGTGCCATCCACACCCGAATTAAAACATCCCTTTGCCCCTGCCAGATCGAGCACAAGTTCACAGTAGAGATTGACAAGCCAAAGCGTGACTATCTGGCCACACATTTCCCGCGAGCAATCCACTTCAAGGACATGGCTGATATGGGAAACGAGCATGCAGAAACGCACAATGGGCAGTACCTTGCGATCCCCAAGGTTGGGGGTTGTCAAAAGCTGGGAAAGGAGGGCGGGTTGGTCACTGTTTGCAAGGTTTCCTGATTTGTGGTCCTTAGATTGGTTGAATTTGGTGCCTGTTCCATGCAGGTGGATGTTCTTTGTGCAGGGTTTCCTTGCATCAGCATCAGCCCATTGACAACCACTCCTGGTTCTGTAAATGATGAGGGTTGCAGCAGCGGCCACGGCTTCCACTCCATCATGCGCTACGTTCGGAAGAAGGAGCCACGGGTGGTTCTACTGGAAAATGTCCAGACACTTTTTCACCGCCGCAAACAGGAGAAGGGAGCGAGACCGCAGCTCAGTTCAAAACAAGATGAAAGTTGTCCTTTCTTTTGTTCATCTTCCCACAATTCATGCTTGTCCTCTCTCTCCTTCTTTGGTGCCAGGTATGATATCGTGCGTGATGCTTTGGTTGATGCGGGCTACGATGTGGCTGCTGCCGTTTTCAACACACTTGAATTTGGTCCAGCCCAGTCGCGGAACCGAGCCTGGATCATAGCCGGCAAGAAGCCCTTTCTGGCCAAGGATGCAATCCAGGATGCTGCCACCTACAAAGTGCAAACTTTTCCACTGAGCCACTTCATTGAGGCGCAGGATGTTGCTCTTGGGCAGCTCGCAGCTTACCCACCGGCAAGGTACCAGAAAGCAGAGTCTGGGGAGAAGTGGAAGGACACGTTCAATCAGGTCTCCAAGAAGTTTGGCAAAGCGACTCATCCTTATCCTTGTGGATTCAAATTTGTTTGAAGCATGTTGCATTGACTATTTTTGGTAGGAATCATTGGCAAAACGATGCAAAAAGGTTTGAGAGGGGAAAGGGTCATTATTTCTGTCATGCAAGGCGAAGGTTATGGCAACTGTGAAGGAGATCACCCCCAAGGCGACTTCTTGCTCCAAGCGCGAAGTGTCCATTCTAGCCACTGCGTGCAAGGACATGGAGAACCGGGGCATAGAGCCAATGAAGACATTGACTGTGATCCAGGTTGAGTCTTGTTACATTTCATCAAAATATGTGTTTCATTCTGTCAATTTAGTCAAGAGGAAACAAGGCTAGCACAGGCTAGGAGACCCCCCAAAAGACCTTTGCTGATCGTTTTTGAAATGCAAAAGCCAAGGACCAAAACTTTGAGCGGCAAACATTCCCAAAGGGCATGAGCAGCGAGGCACCTCACATGTGCTGCCTCATCCCCAAAGGCAAGTACATAGTTACGGGCCCTGGTGAGTTCAGACGCCTGACTGTACAGGAGATCCAGTTTTGGGTTCAAGTTTCAAGGAAAAATGCCTCTTGAATGTCATGAGTAATACACCTTATTGTTTTCCCTGTGCAGGAGATGGCAAAGCTGCAAGGATTTGGTTGGGAGGATTGGGCCCGTTTTGGCATGGGCGACGTCCACCCGACCCTGATGCAGAACATGCTCGGGAATGGGTTTCTTGAAGTTTCACAACCTGCTGTATGTTTTTTTGTTTTGAGCTGTTGGATGCGTTTTTGTATTGGGCTGTTGGAGACTTTTGTTTTGGGCTAGTTCTGCACGCAAGCAACGACAGGTTCTCTACGCCGGTGTTCCTGGCTTGCTTTGTGAGTGCGCTGACCCACTGCGATGCCTGGCAGCCGCGTTTCTGTGCACCAGCTTTGCGGCGGCTTGAACGGCTGAATTTGCCGCGTCCTGTGAGCGGAACGTCAGATGAGGCAGCGAGTGATCCGACCAGCTCATAATTTGCAAAGGCTTGCACAGCAGGCGTTGCAGTAGACGGGTTAGGACCTTGGTGCTGGTTGTAATAGAAACATCTAGCAATTTTTGTCATAAATGGTTTGACATATTTGAAGATAGTGAGCATATGTGAGCATCAAGGTTGAGTTCCATCTCGCGTTTGATTCCAAGCGCGTATTAGCAAAATAAGTAACATCGTGTTGGATGAATCCATTTACAGTTCAACATTATGTCAGGTGCATTGCAGGTTTTTCCCGACAGATTTTGTTCAAGGGCTGCTGTCACTAGTTGTCACGGAGATGCCGCCCAAGAAGAAGCAAAAGCTCACTACCAATGTCAAAGGCTCTAGCGGAGCCGCCTTGACCATGGGGGATGTCAGCCCCTTTCAGGTGAAGTTGAGAGACTGGGTTACTCAGGTCTACAGCCTTCGGCATGGAGCACCGGAGGCGCTTCCTTGGCCAATTGAGGGTGGTGGGAGCATCTTGTCTGTGTGCCAGCGATGCTGGAAGGACCAAGCAGGCCTCGTGGCAGGCTTTTGTGACTTGGTTCAAAAGGTTGGCATCGCATCAGAGTCTATGACGCCTGATGTCTTTGAGGAAAAGTTCATGACCAGTCAGGAGTGGGATGTGCATTGGTCATTTGTTGAAGAACTTTTCTGGAATTTGTTGTCATTTGTTGCAAAGGTCTGGAAACATTGTCATTCTTCATTTGTTGCAACCAGGAGTTTCCTCCCAAAGAGGGATCAATGTTGGCGACTTGCATTCTTCAGTGGAGCCTTGATGACTGCAGCTTCTGGCGTTCCCCTTCAATGGCTTCTGTCGTTGACATCTCCAAAAGCATTGCTCTAGCGGGCTGGAAGGAGGCTGACATACCATTGGTTTTGTTAGAGTTGGGGATATTGGGAGGGAATTTCTAGCCAAAACTGGACAGCTGCCAGAAGCCTGGTTTTGGAGAGCTCTTCTAGGAAGTGCTAGCCATAGGGAATACTTAGCTCCTATTGAGGACATATATATTTTTTTTTAGAAAAATATATTTCCAGGCCCATTTCCACCAATAGCCTCTAAGAATTGGCTATGGAGAGCTCTTCTAGGAAGTGCTCGCCGTAATCAACATCCACAAGCCATGGCCATTTTGGATAGAAATTCTAAAACCAAAATCCTGGTCCCCAAGAATCTATGGAGAAATGTCAAACTCAGATTCCTGGTCACCAAGATCTATGGAGAGCTCTTCCGGGAAGTGCTCGCCGTAAACCCTCAATGTTGGTTTAGGAATCGCTCGCCATAGCCCCTGAGATGGGAATCGCTCGCCGTGCCGTACCGTAACCCTTTCAGAAATCGCTCGCCATAGCCCCTGATATGGAAATCGCTCGCCGTAAACCTCTCAGAAATCGCTCGCCATAGCCCCTGATATGGGAATCGGTCACCGTAAGCCCAACGCCCAAAGTGACCGGGGTTTAAAATGCTACTGTTGGGTGCTTTAGGTCCAGTCTAGAAGTTTGAAAAACCTGACACTGTAACTGTATAGTTCCCTGTGTTTTATGATGTTTTATGCGCGGGACGCATCTACTGTACCAGGAACACTTGGTGCAATATGATAAGTATTCCATTCAAGATCTAAAAGCTTTTCTTGTTTTGTTGTGACACACGAAATATGAAACACGGACATTCCAGCCTATCACCCTTGGATGTGTTGAATTTGGTTTCACTGTCGGTCAACGGCTGAGTTTGGTCTCAGAGCAAAAAAAGACTAATGCATCAGGATATCAAATAATGTAAAAAAGGTGGCACTGGGTGGATACTTTTTAGACAACACTCGTTCTTCTATCTCTTTTCATGCAGAATAATATGGCTGTTGTTTATGCTCGGCCTTTGAATGCTTGCCAATTCCTTCCTGCCCCGAGGGTGAGATGATCGGACTCCGTCTACCTCCCGGAGTGGACCTGAAGAATGTTGACTCTGAGTATGGCCTCTACATGTTTGACGACGGCGGCCAGAAGGCGTTGGCTGCTGCGCTGGTGTTGCTGGGATGCTTGCACCTTGCCGGGACAGAGCCCATTGAGAGTCTCCGCCATCCCCATGTCACTGGGCTGGTGAAGGGGCTGCTCCAAATCCCAACATTGCACAAGAGTCAGGCTTCTGATGAAGTCAGCCAGATGCTTCAGAGGATAGTCAAGCAGAACGTAGATGCCAAGAAACTCCCCGTCAGCAGCTTTGAATGGTGTGGAATTTTGGAGAGATTGGGAGAGGAAAGCATCGGCTCCATCTCTGAAGCAGTGCAAAAATACAATGCGATCCCTGAAATTTGCGCACACGGCTCCAACACTGAGTCTTGTATGAAACATGCAGGGCTAATAATGATTATAAACCAGTTCCATGTTGAACAGTGATTTCCAACAAATATATATGCCGGATATGTATGGATATGTTTCATTGCCCATACCCGACGGACTGAGACCGAGGAAGCCAATGACCGGAGTGCCAGTGGCAGCCTCATGATTGATTCAAAGAAATGCTATGCCATTGGTCATTGGATGCACAAGTGCTGCAAGGAGGCAAAGGCCATAGTCATGGACGCCATGCAGGATGCCCCATTCCAGTATGGACCTTTTGGAGAGGGTCTAGCCCAAATGCCACAGCTATTCATTGGGAGTAAGGCTGACGGCATGCGGTCTTCTCCTGAAAGTGGCCTGTTTCCTTTGGCCAACGAAGAGACCCTGCGTATTGATTGGGACCTCACTTTGGAGTCTCATGGACAGGCCATGCTGTTTGAGCGAATCAAACGGGCATTTGAGATGAATACAGCAATAGTGGCAGAGGTTCGGGACAAAAGAAAATACAGAATGTCACTCGAGGATTTGACATCTGTCAGAAATCTCTGTGCACTTTGGCAGCAAATCAGAGCATTCTGCATGACCCGGATCCCAGACGAGTTTACAAAGCTTGATGAGAGACTTCGGAGCGGCAGTTCCATGGACGAGCAACTCCAGCCTTTGTTCCAAGAATGCCCCAGTGTCTTTAGCATCTCAATGCTCCCACTGACTCAAAAGGCCGCACTGACTGAGCTGAAGCTGAAAGAGGAGTCTGTCACAGTTGAGGTCGAGCGACAACGACTGGAGCTCCGAGCTGCCAAATGGAAATGGTTCCAGGGAGCACTTGCAAGAGATCAGTCCCAGATGGCATTGATATCTCAAGCACCTGAGAAGATTCAAGCACTCAAGCACAGGAAGGTAATGTCATGGAGGCTTGAACAGGCAAAGGTTGGAGAACGTGTGGTCCTTGCGTATGCAGACAAGTTCCTTCGGTGCAGGCAAGTGGAGAAGTTGCAGCACCTTCACGAGGTCCTTCATGAGTACCGGTCATTTGTTGCATCTGGGCTGCAGTGTTGGTAGTCGTATATTTGGGGTCAATTGTTGGTGCCTTTTTTGGAGGGTCATGGAGGGTCCATGAGTTGATCAACTGTTTGATCCCAAGGCAGAATCTGCCGGGATCAAGCAAACAGACTTGTGCATGGTGAGCTTCTGCGACTTAAACGTGCCGCTGGCCAACTCGAAAGAGCGCATGGGCGAGCTGATGCAGGCCATTGCTTGCATCAACGATATCCAGCCTTCCAAGAACATTGGGATCGTGGAGTGCGCAGAGCATCCTCGCAAGAGCTCACGTCGGGGGCACGCCGACGAGGAAAAAGAGCTGCAAGAGGAACTATGGGCATTGAGGCAGCAGTGCGACACGCGATGGATATTACCATTTGAAGTACCTGCATCGGCAGAGGCACACAGTTCACGCAGGCACAGCTCTGCAAGAGAAACATGTTTAACAAAGGGGGGTCAAAACCAGGAAGTTTCAGAAAGTGTGTGAAGTTAATTGTAACTGAGCTTACTGTATTTATATTTCATTTCACAGACATTTACAGACTGTCTTTGTGCCATGCGCGCTGAAAGGAGGTGGAGTTTTGGCCGCTTGGTGACCAACAAGGAAGCGGAAGAGACCAATCAGTTCATGGTTGCCTCAGAACTGGCATTAGCCGGACGACCGCTCACTGACAAGAAGATCGTGATTCCTCTGTCCAAGGACCTTCTCCTTCCAGAATCACTGGAGGCTGACGAGGACCTGAAACAAGCAGACAGACAGAGGCCTAGCGCCGAGGCCATCGCGGCGCAGAAAGGATCCGACAGGTACCTTGCGCTCTTTCGGAGCCTGTTCAGCCTTTCAGGAGATGGGCTCGCCAAGCAGGCAGTAATCCTGATCAACTTGACCGGCTACGTCGAGGAGCTTGGCGCTGCGGCTTTTCGCCAGAATTTGGCACTCTGTAGTAAAGCTATACCATTATGTTTGCAGTGGATCTGTCATGGGCTCCTTATCAGATGAAAACATCCTAAATATTATTTCTAAACAATAGGTTGGGACATCCACTAACTGTTGCCCTTACTGGTTGCTTAGTGGTTAGTTCGCCCATACGTTGTTTAGCCTATTGCAAGGCGGACACAAGACTCCAGAAATGACCCAAACATGCCAATCAAAGCAAAAACAACCAGTGAGCCTGTTGCTCAAAAATCATGTGCAAGTCTGTTATTCACAATTCTGCGGAGCCAAACCTTTAGAGCGGCAGAAATTACATGATTCCAACAAACCTTTGGTTGGCAAGTATGTGTAAGTATATGGACAGGCTGGACTCGGACCTTACCTTACATAGAATTGGGCACAGGCAGGTGTTTGTCGGACCAACATGGTTGTGGTTCCAATGCTAAATACCAAGTTCGCAACAGTTCGCAAACAATGTTTTTTTTTTTTAAACACCAAGAAACAGCAGGTCTTGGTGTGTTGACTGGTTGAATAGTTGAATAGAACGGGGCATAGATGCAATGTTTTTTCTTGCAAAGAAAACATTGGCAAATCCTGAAGCCGAGGTGAAGGTTGACAAGGAGATGATTGGTGCATGGAGCGTGGACAATTTGTACTACCTCTCTGCATCATGGCTTTCTCGCGAGAAGTTTGGACAGTGTAGATTGCAACGGGATGTCCTTCGTGCCTGGATGGACCGGAAACTCCAGTATGGAGGCCAGCAATTTGAGGACAACCCGCCAGAGCTTTCGCAGGCAGAGATCGCCGGCATCCCGGGTGGCGAGGCGTCAATGCAAAACATGGACGGCCTGCGGTGGGAAGTGCTGGAGCGCAACGGCACCAAGCTTTGCATAAAGCAGGATGAACACCGTTTTTGGTCCAGCCAAACAGGGGAAATTGGAGAAACCTATGCTGCCCTCAAAGCACAGCACGATGTTCAAGCTGAGCAGTTCATTGGCTTTGCTGTGGATGCTGCTGAGGCTCAAATTGCAGCGGCAAATGGACCTGCTGGTGGTGAGGACCCTGGTCGGGGCATGTGTTGTTTGTGTGTTTGTTTTCAAGTGGCTCTTCAAAAGGGCTTTGTTCGTTCCAAGACATGGCAGGATGCTACAACATCGACACCGGAGTCCCCTTCTTCACCTGTCACCTTTGACTCCCTGGAGAAGTTGAAGGAAGAGCACGACATTGAGCATCAAATACCGTCCGAGGCAACAGGTGTGCAATTGGTGCTGGCAAAAGATGGCCGGGTCTTTGTGGTGGCAGATCGTGATCGTGTGTTGCCGAAACACACTCAGCTCGGAGGCTTCGGAGCTGGCCAATACATGAAGGCTTCAGAATGCGGTGAGGGCATCCCTTTCAAGCTGGCTCTCAAGGATCGCACCTTGGTGCAAGTTGATGAGTCCACGCTGAGGGAGAGTGCAGCCACCAACGCAGTGTCGACCCAATCGCTATACAAACTTCTCATTGCTTGTGAGAGGGAAAAACAAGTCACCCAACACAAGCTCTCCTACCACCGAGTCACTCGGCTTGCAGATGGTCAAGTGGAAGCTGGTTCAGACGGCTTCAACGTGGAAGCCACCCAGGACATGAAGTTTCGCGTGGTGCACAATGCGGAGTCCAAACTGGTGTGCAAGAACGCCTTTGCCAGGGTGCCTTACCAAGCGATTGACAGATCCCCATACCTTCTGAACCTATTCAGATTTCGCTTTGAGCGAGTGGGGCAGTCTTTGAAGGCGCAAAAGCCATATGTTGTGACCAAGATCGGGATCAACCTTGTGAAGGGGAAACCTGTACAGCTGACAGTGCACAGCGACAGCTAGACTCTAGGCCTTTGCTGAGACCGATGCGTCTTGCTTTGGCCCATCTCTGCAAGTTGTGCCAATTGCCAGCTTGTTGAAAGCATTGGGGTGTTGGGTCCATAAGACAGCTGGTTTTGTTCCTCGTAGATGGCCACATTGGGGCACTGAGTTTACATGTGATATTGAGTATACAATTGTTATTATTCTTCTGTAGAGTTGATGAGGAGCATTTTTGTCAACAAGTAGTTTCTAGGTTTTGGCAGGACATATCATTCATTGTATGCGTCAGTGCAGGTGGCCAAGGCTATCCAGTTCTGTCTTACTCAGAAAGGTTGTCTCAGATTCCAGGTTCCAGCGCGCAGCATTGCAAAAAACAGTGATGTCATTCAACGACCTTCAGATATCTTCAAATACCTTGCCAGAGTACGCATGGAGGGAGATGCCAAAGCTGCAGCCCTTCAGGTTCTCAGTACGACCGGCTTCCATGTTCAATGGCAGCCCCTAACTCATTCATAGCGTTGATGGCAGCTGATGTATGGTTCTACCTTCATTGCAGCCTGTCAGCTCTCTCTTTGGTAGCAGTACTCGCCGCATTGCAGTTTGGTTTCTGGAATTGCCGGGCTTTATGCAAACGACATCTTCACGCACATGAGCCCTCTTTGTCCCCGAGGACATCTACGGCATGCCGGTGCCAGTGCACATCCAGTAGATCAAGTGAGAGTTTCACGAATGAGTTTACCACTCAAGACAAAATGATTTTTATTGCTCCGACCGGAACGCGTTGGCATAGTAGTGAGACCTGTTTCCATTTATTGCACAGTGCACAGAAGTCTAAGCTTCGCAGGCTTCTGCCTTGCCAGAGCTGTGCCCAAAGGGACCACAGGGGCTGAGGCAAGAACATTGGCTTGGCCCAGACATTGTTAATTAATCATATAAATTCGTGCATCATTTGAGCAATGACCGGAGAGGGAAATGGTGCATTGGGTTCATTTCACTCTGCATTCGGTCCAGCAACTTAACTGCGATTTGTTGGGCAGGTTTCTTTTCAGAACGTGCGATTCAGAAAGTTCTGCTCAAAGCCAATTGTGAAGTTTTTGTATAGGTTCATGTTCATGAGCGATGCAGGGGGCAGCCTTTGATATCAGAGCTACCATTCTGCAAAATTTGGCATCGGCTGGTACCAGCGCTGGGGCATCAGCAAGTCCAGTAGCCTCTGCAAGAGTACCGGCAACCCCACCGGGAAGCACCAGCCCACAGGTTCTGAATCAATCTCCAGTTGATCAGGAGACTCGCCACACCCCAGAAGATCGTGCCAATCGCGGAAGCAAAGGAAACAGTGGAAATCGGACAGATGGTACTCAGGTTTAACCAGTAGTTTGGAGGTTTTCCAAATTTGTTTTGTTCCTTTTGTTCTAGGCCAATAACTTGAGAACATTATGTTCAGCCGGCTTTGCAATCTGAGGTGATCGTGGGAGTAGGCCAATGAAGAGGCCATCAGCGAGCATTACTCCGAAGGCGCTTCCCTCATCTAGTGGCAAGCCTCTGAAGCCAGTTTTGAAGAAGCCAAGTGCGTCCAAAGTTTTGTCAGAACACGAAGAAGGCCAAGAGGAGGGCGAGGAGGAAAAGGAGGTGATGGATCTACCAGTAGATGATGAACTTGATGAACCCCCCAAAAAACGGGGCCAAGTTCCAAAGAAGCCGGCCACCAAGACCAAGGAAGAACCAACATCTCGGGAACCTGAACCTCGAAGAGGGAAATCTGAATTGGTGGCTGTTGAATACCATGGAGATTGGACCATGTTTATATACAAGCGCAGCACTTCCGGCACCCCCTTCAACAAGTTTGTAGGACCAGATAATAAAAAGTATTGGACAAGATCGGGGGCGGAGAAGGCTGGCTTTAAGTGTATGGCCAATCCTCCTTGCGACCGCAAAGGAGATTCGTGAGAATCGACAAGTGGCTGCGACAGCAAAGACAAAAAGGGTGCAAAGCTGCTTACAAACATACCCTTGAATCAAAGAACCCAGAGTCATGAAAGAACTATCTTTGGGTAAAGTTCCTTTACAGTGACAGGCAGAAATACCTGTCGACGACCAGAACTCAGGTCCGAGTGCTATGCCCTGCGGTCACGATGTCGATGACTACGCCTGGATACTTGGTGCAGGAGCTTGAGACAGGGAAGCTGTTCCATACCGGTGACATCGTCCAGGTTGGAGAGGCCCCGGAAGAGCTGGAGTTGCCAATGAGGGAAGCCGGCTTCATCCACGAGGTCGATGACAGGGAGGAGATCGACCAACCGCGGAAGCGACCAGGAAGAGTGAGGAAATGCTGGGGTACCCCGTCGAGACCGAGGGAGGAGTCAAAGGCCGTGGACTGGGGGGAGCTGCAGCACCGGGGAGCACAAATCCTGGCTCGTGAACTGAGTCTCCTGGAGGAAGACGAGGGGGAGGTCATGAACGAGAGGTTTCTGAAGATGTTGACCGCTGAGGTCGAGGAGATCGTGGAGGAAGCAGTGCGAGAAGGGCACCGTGAGCAGGAAGAGCTGCTAGAGAATGCCGAGAAGGCAGCTGGAAATTCCCAGGAGTTCCTGCAGACCAGGATGGTGGGGTTGGCGGAAGTGAGGAGAAACTTGGAAGAGTGGAGGTCCTCCATGATCGAGGAGTATGTGGCGCTGACCAAGGAGTCGGAGGCGGTCGAAGCCATCGGTCAGGACCAGTCGAATCGATTGAAGGAAGAGGCAAAGGCTCAGGGCAGGGACTTCGACCTGGTACCCGCGAAGGCCATCTTCAGTCGAAAGGCGGGCACTGGGAGGCACAAGTGCAGAGGGGTGGCATGTGGCAACTTCATGAATGCCAAGAGCTCTGAGTCCACGTTCGCTTCAGGAGCCAGCGGGATTGAAGTGAGGACGCTGATCAAGATGGCGGCGATCAACCACTGGTCCTTGAGCACCCTCGATGTCAAGACCGCGTTCCTTAACGCTCCAGCGGCTCAGGACCGTGGGGTGGTGATAGTACAGCCACCAAGAATCTTCCAGGAGGCTGGAGTGCTCCAAGATTCCAAGGAGTTATGGCTTGTCAAGAAAGCCCTCTACGGGTTAGTGACCTCGCCACGGGACTGGTGTGACCACCGAGATGGAAAGATCAAGAACTTCCAGTGGCTGAGAGGAGGTCGGCCAGTGAGAGTGCAGGCCACACCCCAGACGGACATCTGGCTGGTCCAAGAACAGG